AGTGGGTCCCGGAATCCGGCGTATTCCGCGTCCCAAGACCGCAAGTTGGCAACTTGCGTTCTGTCGATTCCCGGTCCGGCGGACCAGGGTTTGGTCCGGCGGACCGGGGTCAGTTTATTTTTTTTTTTCGAACTTTCTCCCCCGTCCGCGGGGCTGGTCCGCCCCTGACCAGGCCTGGTCCGGCGGACCAGCTCTTTTTTTTTTTTTCTTTCTTTTTCTTTTCCCGTTTCTTCGTTCTTTCTCGGTCCAATCCGCACGTGACGATCCTTGTGCCTCTCCCCGGCGTTGCACTATGTATTTTTGGTGATTCCGTGTTATCTCTATTTAATTATTTATTTTTAAATAATTAAATATTCAATTCGGGTTTCGGGGTATTACAGGGTTGTGGTGCTCTGCCAGTTCCTCGTTTGTTCTTTTCTTTCGTCGGTCGGGATGTAGGCCTGAGCTATATGTTGGAAGCTGAACTCGTTAAAATCTACGTTGTTGTTTATGTTCTTGCTCGAACGAGCATCGGAGTGATGGAGAGGAACTCGATACCACCTTCACGAAGTGGTATCAGAGCTCCAATTCATCAGATCTAGGGAGAAACTTATCGGTCAGGCGAGGTAAGTTAGGGTTTCAGTTCAATCTTGTCTATGTGAGCTTTCTAACCTTCTGTGTAAGTGTTTCAGTGACAGGCGAGCTAGATCAATGATAATAGAAGGCATATCTTTAGTCTTCGGAGTCACCGACGGCCAGATCTGTCGTCTTGAAACGATGAGGGTTGCAACTCGATGAAGACAGGTTCGAACTTCGAACCAGGTGAGTCTCTTGACTCGGTTTTGTAATTTTTCGCGTTCTCTGAGTCGAGTTTGTGTTTCACCTTGAAACTCAGCGTAACTCGGTGGAGAAAGTCTGATTCCGACGAAACTCAGTGGCAACTCGTCCGATGGCTAGGTTTTCCGAGACTAGGGTTTTTGGGTCAATCCGATTTAGTTAGCTGAATCAGAAATTAATTTCGGTTTACCCGATTCATGATTAATTGACCGGTTCAACCTGGTTCGATTAGATCCGGTCCGATTCAGAACAGTTCAGACTGGGTTCAATCCTGTTCAGGTCAGATTCTGGTCGGTTCAGGCCAATTCAGACAAGTTCACTCTGGTTCGGTCAAAGGTTGACCAATTTTGGTCAACAGTTGGTCGGTTTAGGTCATATCTGACCGATTCATGTCTGGTTTGAGATCAATTGGATTGCTTTAACCTGTTAAGGTCAATTTAGGCTCGGTTTACTATAATTTAGACAGGTTTAGGGCCGGTTCTAGGTCAAATTAGGGTCTGATTTGGGTTAGGGTAGGTTGTTGGGTCCGTTTCAAGTCATTTCAGGTTCAGTTTAGGTCAATAAAGTCCAGTTTGGGTCAATTTAGATCGGTATAGAGTGGTTTAGGTCTTGTTTAGAGTCTGATTTATCTAGTTAGGATTAAGATTGTCTTGGTCAATAAAGTCCGGTTTATATCAATTTAGATCGGTATAGACTGGTTTAGGTTTTGTTTAGAGTATGATTGTCTAACTATGACTAAGATTGTCTTGTTTAGAATCCAATTTATCCAATTAGGACTAGAATTGCTTGAGTATAGGTCTATTTGGTCTAATTAGGTCAGATAGAATTCATTTAGGGGTATTCTATTTGGTATAGAGTATTTAAGACATGTATAGGTCAACTTATAGGTCCATAACATGCATAGAAACATCAGTTTCCACCATTAGGCGATGAGAATTGAATCTCATTAGTTTAACTCAAACCACTCACATGGTTTTGACGTTCGATTGGCTTTAGCTTGATTGTGTGAGCTTCTCATGCCTTCTTGCACCGAGGAGAGCTTCTGAGCACGACTAAGGATGTTTCCCTTTGCTTTCCCGAGCTCGTCTTTTGCTTCCCTAAGCTCCCCCCCTTTGATTTCACTTCTTTCCCCTCTTTCACTCAAGTTTGTGTTCTTGAGTTTTGGTGTGAAAAATGAAGAGGATTAGGGGGCGATTTATAGTTGAAGAAAAGGAGGATTAGGTAGTTTTGGTTGCATTAATGGAGGTTATAGTGTTCCTCTGAGCCGAAAATGGATAGAAAATGGGTTTGTGGGGCACCAAAGTGGCTTAAAACACGTTTTTTTGTTGGAATAATGGTGTTGATAGCTCACGATCGCGCCATCGCCCCATGATGATGGGTCGATCGTGTTAGCTCAAGGATTGCGCCATCGCTTCACGGTAATGGGTCAATCCTTTTCGAAGTGGCGATCGATCCATCATCTCTGACGATGGATCGATCGCATTGTCTAGGTAATTTTTGACCCTGTTTGTCCTTTGGTTTTCATACTTCAATTCCTTATATTTTTAGACTTGTTTTACCCTTTTTTTATTATCAAAAATTAATTAAATAATTACTTCTGGGATCGAGATATTACATGAACCATACAGAGGATCGATATCAAGCATTTAACTCGATATCCCAAATTGAGTTGGGCATGGATCAATATCATGCTTGCCCTGGGTCGACATCGAGCAAATAGTTCGATATCGGGCTTTGACTTGACCTGCATTTGTTCTTCGTCCGTTTCCCGTTTTGAAGCATTCCACGATATCCGATTTGATCTAAATAGGTTTCGAAAATATCGTTTTTACTTTTTTTATTTCAAATGTACTAATATACCTGAAATTTCATCAAAGAGTAAAGAAAACTATATTTGTACCTAGTATGTCATTTAAAACCGATGAAATGTGCATAGAACTATAAGGAAATGTCATTACATGAGATTTAAGTTGTACATAGATATCTCAGGTATGAAGATCTTAAAGCGAACTATTACATGAGAAGTCCTAACTCGTGTCCGTGTGAAAATCCCATACGAGTCCTCCAGTACCTTATTCCAAACAAATACTCATGATCGTGATTCGTATCCAATACGCATGATCATCGACATTATCATCGATCATACCTCATATGAGTATTAATTTATCATTGTTCCCACGATGATAAGTGATTATAAAATTTAAGATCATTTATAACGATGTATTTGGCAAGCGGTGGTTAGGATTTTAAAGAAGAGGGTTATCGATGGTAGAGGTGTGGGCATGGGTCAGGTATCCAAAAATTTAGGGTTACCCGAACTCGAATCCAAACCTGAATTTTTTGTAAAAAAATTACCCGAATTCGAACCCGACTTAGTTGGATACCTGAAAGTTGGATACCTGAAAAAATATTCGAGTACTCGTGAGTATCCGAACCCGAATTTTAAAGTCAAAATTCCAATAAAAATGTGTATATTCAAATAAAATCCTACATAAAAACAGTTCAAATATAAAAAAACATATTGTTGATCATAAACCATTCTTAAAAAATGTTTGAACATAATTCCAATTTCATTACGTTTCCATTGTCATCTAGCAATTTCATAATATCGTTACTAGCATCTTTTTGGACTTGTCAAGAAAAAAGAAATAAATCATATCGTAAGACAAAAAATCATGCAATACAGATTCTTGCAGACAAGTTGATTCTCAATGGCATTGCAAATACGCCATTATCATTCTCCACAAAGGACATGCATCATGAATTTAAGGACAACACAAAGTCATTTTCAGAAACACTAGAAAAAAGTTCAGACATTTTCAGAAACACATAAGGAATGTGCATATAACTACAATTGTTGAATCTGACCAAATAACTAAAGTTTGTTTGCTTGATGATTTTGATGCAAATGTCCTCCCTTGTGCTATATTTTAAGCCACAAATTGAAGAAACCAAATCAAACCAAATCAGAAAACACCTAAGAAACATTACGAAATACCTAAAAAAATCTGCACAGATCCACATTTGAAGAAACGAGAAAGCAACAAGACGGCTTGAATTGGAGATGAAACGGACGATCAACATATCCAGAAAATGAGCAAGTAACAAATGACCAACATAACAACTGTCAAAGAAACTTATCCAGAAAACGAGCAATCCACGGTCGAAAAACCGAAACAATGGAAAGGGAGATGAAATCGAAAAATACAGAAGAAAACGTTGGAAAATCCAACCAACCATTTACTTTAAAATATTCAACAACATCATTATGATCAATCTAGCTGGTCAATACATGAATATTGACGATAGAGAAAAATCGTAATCAAACATAAAGTGAATTCATAGGATATTATCTTAGTTATATGATTATTTCAATAAAATTAAAATTAAAGATATTTCGTTACCATATTGTTATCTTTGGCAATCAATCCGATTTTAAAAAGGTGTCTTTAGTAAATATTGCAAGTTCATAATCATTCCGTCGCCGATCTTTTGTTAACGGTGTCTTCTTTGAGTCACCATTTTATATAGTGTTTTAGTTTGTTTCGGATCAAATTTGTAAAAAAAATGATATAATATTCAACTATTTTAAAATTTTTAGATTTAGTTCAATTTAATTAATTCCATTTTAAAAAATATGTTTTATATAAATCTATATATTTTAATTAAAATGATTTTGACTAATGGACCAAGATTCAACGATTAATGGATTAAAGTCAACGAGTCAATGGACCGAGGTCAACAATCATAGACTGGCGGTGAACGGTAATATTAGAGTAGAATAATGGGCCCTTGGGTGTTTGTTAACGACCCGTTTATATTGTGGGCTACTGAGTCGCATTTTTACCGGTGAAATCGAACTGGTAAAACGGCGTCGGATATGTACGGTCAGAATTCTTGGAAAATGGAGAATTTTCTTCTCTGTTTTTTTTTTTTAAATCTAATCCCTTCTTCCAGCGAATATTACTCAAATAACCCACTTGGTTCGCAACAATTTCAGTGTACACCACCGAAAAAAAAAAAAAATTTGCGATCTTATTACGACTAATATATAACTAATATACAACTTATTACGACTAATAAACTACTCTTATTTTAGTTGTATATTAGTTATATATTAGTGTCGCAAATTTTTTTTTTTTTCTAGTGGTGTACCTGAAATTGCTGCGAGCCAATTGGGTTATTAGGGTTAAAACCCCCTTCTTCCACCTTTTGGAATTTCGAGTCGAAACCCTAATTTGTTTCACCCCTAATTTGGAAGAGATTATCGTCCTCATCCCGATATCAACCTCTTGTTTATCCACAAATTTCTGATATTTTTGCTCTCGAGGAGGTTTCTGGTAGAATTTTCAATTTGGTTGCGGATCGGCGTCAGGTTTCGTTGTTTTATGAACTGTTTATTGTCAGTGATCGAGTTGTAGTGACGGTGATGCTAGCGGGTTTGCGGAGATGGAGAAGGAACGAGTGAGGAAACGACCCCGTATGACATGGGACGAGGCACCAGCTGAACCTGAGGTTTGTCAATCATCTGAGAATTAGGGTTATTGTTCTATTGGGAGGATTTCGTTAGATTGGGAATATTTTAGGAACTCCAAAAATTTCTTTGATTTTTTCTCCGTTGTTGTTTGATTAGCTTACATTCGTTCGGCGATTGTATGGTAGGCGAATAGGCCTCTGGACAAAGGGCATGGAACTGTGGGGAGGTATGTTTCTCCACCGATAAGAGAGGATGATCATAACGGCCATTACATTTACAGTTTGCGGGAGAATCTTACTCCTAGATGTGAGTTTCTTTTCATGTTTTTTTCCTTATTTTGGGTTCTTGCAATAGGATTTATCGTCCCAATTGAACTTTAAGCCGGAATTTGGTGGTGAAATTGCAAAACTTATGCGTATAAAACTAGCCTCTGTCCATCATTTGTATATATGTGACGTGTACGTTAATCTTTTGTGTTGTATTTTGACAGATAAAATACTTAGCAAGATGGGTGAAGGTTAGATGTCAAGTGGCATGGTGTGTCCGACATGAAAATGTTTATGTGAATCTAAATGTGCCAATCAGTCAATTGATGGTATTGTAGGCACTTTTGGTCGGGTTTTGGAATGTTGGGATCGTCAAACAAAAGAATACGTGGCTATAAAGGTCGTTCGGAGCATTAAAAAATACCGGGATGCAGCAATGATTGAAGTTGATGTACTTCAAAAACTTGCTAAGAACGACAAAGGCCGCTCACGGTATTATTTTATTCTTTGTTTTATAGCCGCTAGATGTATGATGCTATTTCCGGATGTAGGATTATGGTTGAGCTTTTGTTTTGCTACTTTGTTCTTGCAGATGTGTACAAATAAAGGACTGGTTTGATTATCGAAATCACATTTGCATCGTGAGTATTCCAATCAAGTTTTTGCTTATCGTTTATTTATTTGTGTTAAAGTGGATTGCACCTCTTAACTTTGATGGATTTTGATCTCAATGACCCGTGAGAGTGGTTATGGTTAGAATTGGATAGGTGTAATTACTTCTCGGTCTGCCTTACTTTTCATGATGTCCAAATACTGTCAATAAGTCCCATGCCTCATCCTCATGTTTGTGTTCGATTGTTGATCCGTGTGGATTTTACCTATGAAGTTTGAAACTAAACAGAAACCTTCCTTTGAATGCATTCTAATGGTTTTACCAGGTATTCGAGAAGCTTGGGCCAAGTTTGTTTGACTTTCTAAAGAGAAATAAATACTCCCCCTTTCCTCTGGCCCTTGTTCGGGATTTCGGGCGTCAGCTTTTGGAATCTGTAGCATGTCTGTGGATTGTTCCTTTCTGATATTTTGTATTGTTATATTTTTCATAAAATGTCATTAAACTATTTTCCCTGTCTGTCTCTGGTTTGGCATGGCAATTGTTCTTGCCTCCTGTTTTTTAACATCTTTCCTGTGTTCGTCCATGGTCTCCTACAGATATGCATGATTTAAAGTTAATTCACACTGATCTCAAGCCTGAGAACATTCTTCTAGTGTCTTCTGAATATGTGAAGCTTATGGACCATAAGGTATTTGTCCTTGCATTATGGAATATCATGTTAGGGTTGGATTCTGGTATAGTCTTTTGTTGTAACGCCAAACCCATGGCTGTGGTGACAGAGGAGTGCTTCAGACGAGACACATTTCAGGTGCTTGCCAAAGTCGAGTGCCATTAAGTTGATTGATTTTGGTAGTACTGTGTGTGATAACCGGATTCATGGCTCCATTGTTCAAACAAGACATTACAGAGCCCCTGAGGTCATTCTAGGTAAAATTGTATTTATTTTGTTTGTTGTTCTATGTTTTCCTGTTTCCATAGGAATCCATTTGTGGACTCTTAGCAATGGATGGGTTGAAATTACAGGCCTAGGATCTGTGTGTTCAGTCGTTATGGTTCTCATTCTTATTTCCTAGAGGTAGCCGAAATAGGAACACAGAAAGGAAAAAAGGGGAACGGTCTCGAATGTTCCTTTAAAACTCGAGAATCTCCTTACAATCATCTCCATTTCATATTTTATTTTGTGGTTTGGTTACCACATTCTTCACAATCTCGCCAATTGATTTTTCTAACGATTGTCATTGTTCTTGTTGCAGGTGTAGGATGGAGTTATTCATGTGATTTATGGAGTGTTGGTTGTATCCTATACGAACTATGTACTGTAAGTCTCAGTTCTCACTGTACAATTCAGTCACCGAGGCCTTAGCTATCCTTCTCAGTATGCTGGACTTTGTGCATTAGGGTGAAGCGCTGTTTCAGACGCATGACAGTCTCGAGCATTTGGCAATGATGGAAAGGGTGTTAGGTCCGTTGCCCGAACATATGACCCGAAAAGCCAGGTGACTTAATAACATAGTCTGGAACTCCGAAATAAAAAAATAGGGTTAATTTAATCCCATGAGAATCTCATGCTTTTGTTGTTTGCAGCCGAGGTGCTGAGAAATATTTCAGGAGAGGGTATAGACTAAATTGGCCTGAAGGAGCCAACTCTAGGGAGAGTATTAGGGCCGTGAAAAAGCTTGATCGTCTCAAGGTTACACCCCGTTAACCTCTTTTCCCCGGTGTTGTGATAATTTCTCTTCTGTTGTTTCCTTGTAACGTCTCTCCATCTGATTCACAGAACAAAAAAAATGTGATTTTATCGCAGGATATGGTGTCGAAACACGAAGAGAACTCGAGATGTGGACTTGTAGATGTATTGTATGGGCTCCTGAAGTATGACCCATCGGAGCGTCTTACCGCACGCCAAGCTCTCGACCATCCTTTCTTCGAAAATGCAAGCTGAAAAAAGCCAAGACCCGCAAGTTTGTGCGTTTGTATTGTATGTTGTGTCGAAATAGCTTCGTGAATGTATGGGAACCGTGTTTTTTTGGCTGTCGGAAAAGTAGTGTTTTTCTTTGAATGGGAAGGTCTTATTATCGCATGATCCTAGTTCCACAAATTCTATGAAGGTTATGTATTTCAGGTAGGGCCCGGCAACCCACGTGCGTGTATTTGTCTTGTGGTATCAAAAGTTTGGGAGTCCGAGCCACGGCGGGTACAAGACTGGGCGGTGATATTCAGGAGTTCGGGTTTTGTCAGTCGATTATTCGTATCCGCGTTCATTCAAACGGAGGGGAGAGACGGTGTCGAGGGAAGCGTGAAGCTGTGAAGCGTGACTTGTGAGGGCATAAACGCAACTAGGGTGAGGGACTAAGGGCGATTAGGCGGCAAGCCTCATGTGGTGAGGTTTTAGAGTTTGTATTTTCATGATATGTAGGTATTTAGAGATTTCGTAAAAAAAAAAAAAAAAAAAAAAAAGGTTATGAATGGAAGGAGTTTTTAGTTTTTAAAATTTTGTTTTTTTTTAAACACGAAAAGCTATTTTAACAAAAAAAAAAATCAACTAGAAACTCTAATTTTTGAATTTACGAATGTTATAAAAATTGAAAGTCAAAAACTAACTTCGATGGTCGTTTCACGGCCTTCATCTCATGTACCTCGTCGGTTGGATATTCCGAAACTCTAGTTTTGACCACAAGGTCAAGGTCATGTAGCTCAATCGAGAATCTAGGCTGATAAACTGATATATTGACAACTCCGGGGATCTATTTCGTTCTGGTAGGGGAAATATCTGCCCCTAGTTCTGGGATTGTGTAACTTATCCACTCCCAAAGATCCAAAAGAATTCAAAAATATGGAAAGAGTCACCAGTAACAATGCCCATCACCAAACGTCCAAACCTGTGAAACCTGTTAGCATCTCTAACGACAACCACTATCTTCAAAAGCCTTGATAAACCCTTTATGAACTCATGGCAATCCCCACATATCCCCCTGTTCTTGAATACCCTTATTATCACCTTCCCTTCCACTTTTTTCATGCCTCCCATCGCCAACAACGCCATCCCAATCGCCAGTTTCTCGCTGTGAACCCTTAGATGCTCCTCCTTCGATTCGCCTTCTACATTGTGCAACGAGTTTCACAAGCCGTGAACGTAACCCAGCTCTTGTTTCATCCTTCTCTCGATCCCTCTCAGCGTTTCGCGGATCTTTTGTATATGTGGATGTGAATCTGAATCTTCTCCTCCATAGAAGAAATGTACCTCTTTGTCGATCTCTACCCAACTCATTCCGGCTTCTTTCTTCAACCCCTTTCTTTCGGCTAGCTCCCGGATTCTCTCACTCTCGTCCCAGTAACCAGCTTGTGCAAAAATGTTGGACATCATCACGTAGTTTGCTGGGTTATTTCCATCTATCCTCATAAGAATCTCGCCTACTTCTTTCCCCAGTTCAACCTCCCTGTGAACTCGACAGGCGCTAAGAAGGGTTTGCCATATTCCGATATTTGTTCTTACTGCCATAGTGTCGATAAGACACTTAGCTTCTTTCAAACGACCCGCTCGTCCAAGTAAGTCGACCATACAAGCGTAGTGCTCTACCATTGGTTTGATTCCTTGCGTTTCTAGTAACTTCGAAAAGATTTCTTGGCCTTCTTTGATGAGACCGGAATGGCTACATGCAGAAAGCACGGCTAGATAACTTACCTCGTCAGGCTTGACGTTACGTCTTACCATTTCATCGAAAAGACGAGTCGCTTCTTTACCAAGACCGTGTTTCCCATAGCCAGTAATCATGATGGTCCATGAGATCACATCTTTCGAACCCATTTGGGTGAAGAAGCATCTCTCGGCCTCATCAATTAACCCGCACTTGAGGTACATGTCCATGATCGAATTGGATACTGATGTTTCCAGTCCTGATGGGACTTTGACGGCAAGTGCCTGCATTTGCCTGCCCTGTTCCAAGAGGGCAAAATCAGCAAAGACACTAATGATGCTTGAAAGAACGAAATCATCTATAACGGAGTTTATCTCCCGTAGTTGCCTGAACAAATTCATAGCCTCTGCTAAGTTGTCTGCTTGAGCATACCCGAGGATCAGTGAACTCCATGAGATCAGAGTCTTCTCCTCCTTGATTTGATCAAAAACGCTTCGAGCTTCACACATGTTTCCACACTTGACATACATATCAACGAGAGACGAGGCAATCGTTGCGTAAACAGAATGAGAGAAACCGCTCGTGACCACGAACCCATGTATTTGTCTTCCTCCACGAATCATACCGACGCTACTGCAAGCCTTCAACAAGCTTTTCAATGTAAACTCATCAGCCCTTTCCTTTGTATTCTCATTCCACAATGTTTGAAACATGACCAAAGCTCTCTCACCGCACCCAGCATTTACATAACCCGCTATCATCGTGTTCCAGCTTATAAGATTCTTATCCGTCATCGATCCAAACATCTTCTCAGCTTCACTGATTCTCCCACATTTGGAGTACATGTCAACCAAAGAATTCCCAACCTCGGGCTTCATCTCAAACCCGGTCTTCAAACACATCCCGTGAATCTGCGTTCCCATTCCGAGCTCGTGAAGTAAACCAGAAGCTTTCAGATTCGTCGAGAAGGTGAACTCATTCGGGGAAATACCAGAACGCCCCATCTCTGAAAACATAGACAATGCCTCCTCAGGGTTACCATCCCGTACATGTCCACTCATGAGGGCAGTCCACGAAACAACATTTCTCTCGGTCATTCTATCAAACACCTTGCAAGCGGCAAGTGTTTCTCCGCATTTGCAGTACATATCCACGAGATCATTGTTCAACATCAAATCGAACCCGAATCCATATTTCAGAAGAAAACAGTGAACTTGAGCTCCTTGATCAGCCAATCCATTTTTGGAGCAAAATCTCAAGATTCTGGCAAATCTTTGTCGTTGGATCCATACCCGGTAAGGCATTGGGTGATTCATCAGTGAAGCTTCGCTAAATGATACAAAAAAAAAAAAAAAGAGAGAGAGACCAGTATGAAGTTTCCTTGTACAAGTTTACATCTTCACCTGAACCATGGAGAAAACCTATTAAACTGGTATCAGAGATCCTCGGATGGTCGGGAGAGGTGCACAAAGATGATAACTGAAGTCGAAATTTGATATATAATCTTCAAACATAAGTTCAAAAGCGAGATAAAATCATCTAATCGTCAGGATACAAAACTAGAGTGAGAGAGAGAGAGAGAGAGAGAGAGAGAGAGAGAGAGAGAAGATGCTGCTAAGCCAAGTTGTCCTGTGAGAAAAGGAGGCCACATATGAGAATCACTGCGTATACGCTAAAATCCATCAACACTGCATTCATTATCTTCTTGATCATTAGAGCCATCTCCACTGCATTACCAACTTGCTCGGCTATGCCTTGATCGCTCGTTGTAACTGTGTTTTCTCGTCTCGATGCTGTTGAAGGATCTTCACGATGATTCAGGAGAACCCGGCCAAGCACAATTGTTGCGTCGGTCAGGAGAAGCAAGAAAACAGGCCTGAAGCTGATTATGACGTTGAGGGAAGAGAACCCGAAGCAAGATAATATTACGAGAAGCGCGATCGCCAAGGAGGAAAAAACCCGCGTGTATTCTGAAGCATCGATGGCGGCACCAACATGTTTCGGTGTGATAACCTTTGTAACATGACCCAGAGGGAGCAAGGATTGATGGGCACTCAAGTCTCTTGCGGATGTAGTTTGAGTTGTCGATGTGGTTGGAGATGGCTGTATCGTGTCTCGAGGTTCTGAGGCAGGGACATTTGCCGATGTTTCGATGCTCATCTGAGGCTGAGGGAGTCTAGCTTTGCTCTGATAGACGTTATGATCTGCACGATAGCTTTCATTGTTATCGAGCATTCCATCAGAGATGTTCTCCTGCTGACCTGTAGAAGCGGCGAGTTCAAAATTAGGATCACCAGGACCACTTAGTTATTCCCTTGCTATTTACTTTATCTGCTCAAAGAAATTTTGGATTAACAGAGCATTCCAAGGTATAAAAATGAAGCTGATGGGCAGATAGTCTTCTCCATGACAGTAATGAAATGTAGCAAGCCAAGGGAAACACCATCTTTAAAAGATGCGTGTAAATCGGAAACCTTCATGTTTGGCAGAGAATACGTAGGTAAAGTAGCGCAAAAATAAACACACATGTTCATTAACATGCCAACACCTAAAAAAAAGGCACACTACGTGCATCATCAAATCTTTTTTCCTCATGTGCTCCAGTCGATATATAATGAATTGATTTACGCGCTATATCCGCATATACATTTTCAGAAAAAAGCTTCTTATGTAAAAAGAATATGTATTGCAGTACACCGTGAGTACACAACTCATATATTTTACATCTAAAACATCACTAATCCTTGAGGTAAAACATGATATTCCTTGAAGCAAGACTACCCTTCTTTCCACAAAATCTAAAAATAATAGGTTTAGACCAGAGAATATTATTGGCAGCAATGCAAAACAAAAATTACAGAAACTCGGGAGAAAAGAAATGCAGAAAACTTGCAGAATCATATGTAAGACAATGCAAAGCACATCAAGTACAAATCAAATGAATGAAAAATGTAGTAGCAAGAATCAATCCCCATACCCTGCGGCTAATAACAAGACAAGAAACTGTTGCAAACAGAATATATAAGGATTCTCAACCCTGAGCGCCATTCAATTGTAACTGGGATCAATTCACCCGATATCCAAGAAATTTCACATAGGTTACTGTGCACAACAAGTAGAGAATAAGGAGATTTAGTTCGAAATTGAAATCCATCAGTGAGAATTAATGGTGGCTTTGGCCAATTTGGCTTTTTCCTTGAGACCTCACTTCCCATTAAGTCGCTCAATATGATCGCCATTGATCTTATAAGAAACAAAAGCTAAACCCTCATTCACAGACCATAAGAGAAGAAAGACACTATCTCCCTGTAGTACAAGGCATGTCCATCTCTTTTGTTGCTGACAGTAAAACAAATACACGTTCATACATCCTTATATGCACACAAACTCCTATACTGATGAAGATATATGCATGTACACACACTCTACAGTTTTCCTGTCGTCAATCAATCGATAAAAAGACACTGTAAATTAGTAATCAACTTCAAAAGGCAGATGATAAAACAAGATCGTTCACCAGTCAATTGCATTTCCACACCTGAATTTCAATTCAAACCCAGCCAAAGCACATGAAATCTAACAAAAAAGAAAGACTTTAGAACTACCAAGGACTTCAATCCGGAGAGAACAGATGAAATCGTGTGAACACAATTCATCGCCATGCCACTCAAAATAAGTGTTCAGCATAGATTCTTACTACCTAAAGGAACATCAGAACGAAACAAACACCGCCGAATCAAGCCGTAATTCAAATAATCAAACAAGTACGAACACCGAACTCCCGCGTAAACATTACAGATTCAGTAGAAAGGCAAATATAAAGAGAGAGAGATGGAGACGTTACTGGAGATTTCATCGGAGAGAATCTGGTCGGGAAGCGGAATTGGATTCAAGAGGGATTCGTCTGTTCGGAGCTGAGATTCGGAAAGGGGGGGAGAATCTGAAGGAGGTGGATCGGGGATGCTATGGATCTGACCAGTGATAAAGGCCAAACGATCGGATCCTCGTTCGATGATCTTACGCCTCCTAGCTTCTCTGCTGCTCGTCGCCATTGCCGGCAAAAAATTTTCCTTCTGGGCAAAGAAAGGGACAAGAGGACTATGCCATTCAACCGTCGATTTTAAACGCGAGTTTGGAAGCACGTTTTCTAAAACGCGCGTTTGTCCCCAATAAAACCGTGTTTGCTTGCGTTCGACGTGCCCTTTATGCCGGTGATTCAATTTCAAAGGCTATCGTCGGCCGGGACCAGCCATGAATGTTTTTTTTTAATGTAATTTGGGTGTATTAATCAAAAAAATTGGTGGTACATAGTCCAAGATTTAATCCACATTTACAGCATTCGCCAAGTTAACCTATCAAAGGAAAATAGCTTTTACAGCAGATTTAATATAACTTACATGTCTAACTTCTCAACTAATGAGTACCAGCCATGAATGTTAAAATAAATAATCATGAGAACTAATATAAAATGATGAAAACCAAGAGATTATTATATAAAATATGTAAATAAATTCGACTATGTAAATAATTACGAATGAAATATTTAACTTTTCAACTTAAAATAATATAAAATATTATCAAATTTCACATAAATTTTAATGTATTTCATATTCTTATACTAATAGGAGTAAAAAATAGGTGGATCGGGCCGGGTTCGAGTCATATGATTCCAAATTTCTTCAGGTTAAGATAATCCAACATCGATATCACACTCTCTTGTTGTTCATACTCAATCATGTCGGCATCTATTGTCATTAAAAACTTTTAAATCTGATAAAAAAATCTATCACATATGCATCTCACATTTTGTTTTCTTTTATTTTGTACATTTGCATAGATATTTAATTCTGATAAATAAGTAATAATAATGTATTAATAATAAATATATATATATATATCAATGAACAAGATATATAAATTTATAAAAAGAAAATAACAAAGACATTCTATAGCAATATTTTTTTTATGAAAATCGCTAAACATAGAAAAAAGTATTTTATTAATGTAGAAAATGATTTCTTTTAGCAATTTCCTTAATTTTCCACGTTGAACTCAAGAACTCTTTTGGACATCTATCTTGTCCTGGACTTTTGTTTTTTGGCATTGCACAAAAAACTGCAATAATCTCCTTCATAGTGACCTCTGCTATTGGGGAGGAGCAAAACTCCGAAGGTCAAATTACCGATCGAATGACGATGGACAATAGCAGCGGTTCAACGCAATTGACTCCGAAGAAAATCAATAATTTGTATCTCGAGGTAATTTTGATTAAAATTAAATTTAATAGTTTAAATTTTAAATATTAATTACTTATTCTATTGGTAGGTGCTTCCCCCAATGCGAAAGATCAGATTTATAGGATTAGTTTGCGTTAACGAGTCAACTCAGTGGTGGTTAGGAATGGACAAAATATCCATAAAATTTGAACCGATCTGTTATTCAATTCGTATCCGAACCAAAATTTCGGATATCCAAAGTTTACGAATCGAATACGGATATTTATTTGAAGATTTTTGTCGGATATGGATCAGATACGGATATTAAAATGGAATTATCCAACATATCTAATCCGATCTGTATTTTGTATAATATTATTAAATATAAGAATAATTTGGTATGGAGATTTAAAATGTTTAATATTTACACTTTTTTAGGGTGATTCAAGGAAAGTTTTATATATATTGAGATTTATAATATTTAATCTTTTTGAATATTAAGATGTATTGTGTTTAATGTTTTGAATTTTGAATATATTTGTATGTGAAAGATTATGATTCTAAATGGAATATTTAAGTTGATTTGGAGATGATGCAGCGATTCATGCCTCCAACCGATTCCACCAGTTCGTCAGCACTACAAAAAAACACGGAAATGGTGACGCAAATTTTGCGTCACCATCGGACATTTTTGCGTCACCCTTTGAAAAGGGTAACGAAATAGTGACGCAAAAAAATCGTCACCAATAGCACCGTCACCATTTGCGATTTCGTCACCAATTGGTGACGCCGGAGTGACGCATACTTTTCGTCACCAATTGGTGACGAAACGGTGACGCAATTGTATGACTAATTTGTGACGCAATTGCGTAACCAATATCGTCACTAATACATGACGCAAAAGCGTCACCAACTTGCATCACCAAGTAGTGACACCTTGCGTCACCAATCGTCACCATTTGATGACGCAATAGCGTCACTATTTAGTGACGCATTTTGATGACGCAATTGTGTCATGTATTAGTGACGATTTTGCGTGAACAAATATGTTACTATTTAGTGACGCAGCCGGTGACTTCGTCACCAATTTGGTGACGTAATTGCGTCACTAATTGGCGTCACTATATAAAATAAAAATAAAAACAAAAAAAATATTATTATATTATATTTAAATATATAATTAAAGTTCTAAATAATTAATTTACAAAACCAAAAAAATATAAAATATTTAATTTTGATTTCCCCCGTCGTAATTGGCTTCATCGCCGTCGCCGTCACCATCGCCACCGCATCCTTGTCCTCTGTTTCCGAAACTCGAAAATCCTCGCATTTGGAACTCATTGAAAAATTCTGCTTGCACTCGCAATTCTTCAATGAGTTTTCGATCTTCTTCTTGTCGGCGCAAGAATTCCGCTTGTTGCCGGAGGAGTTCAGCTTGCTGCTCCTCTAATTGTCGCACTCGTCGTGCGAGTGAAAGCGTTTCCTGAGCAGTTGAAGGAGCATCTTCACCGGGATGATATGTGATATCAGTTTGCATTGAACCGAGACCGTATATCCGTCCAAATTTGTTCGGTGGAATAACCTATATAATAAAAATATAATTAATTAATAATTTATTTTAAATTAAAATTTAATTGAAATTATTATAAGTTTATATATTTAAAAATTACCTGAAGATATATGTAATACCCCGATTCCCGAATAATTTATTCCGAGAATAAAATAGGGTAAGACAATTCTAAAATATAAGGTGGTTGGCATAAGAATCGAACCAAGGGATCAACGGGACTCGAACGCGTCGAAAACGTCGAAAAAACAAAGGAAATAGGGCATAGACCGATCGGTCCAGAGGTAGACCGACCGGTCTAGCGAAAGACGGAGAAAAAGACAAAAAAAAAATAGTACAGAACGGACGGACCATGAGGTGGAACGGGCGGACCAGGAGGTAGAACGGACGGACTGCCCGTTCACGAAGCGGAACGGACGGACCAGAGGGTGGAACGGACGGACTGCCGTTCGCGGAACGGAACGGACGGTCCAGCAGGTGGAACGGACGGACTGCCCGTTCGCGAAGCGGAACGGACGGACCAGAAGCAGAACGGACGGTCTAGGGTCCTGGGAGCAAAACGCCGAAAAATGCTGACTTTCTTCCACCTTTCGGCAGCGATTATTACGCGACATCTCGACCCCACGTGCCACCAGCCACCACCTCTGTCTAGTGGACGACACCCTCTGGCCCTCCTACCCTCTCCCTAGCTCCTATGGCGGCGTTAGAGGTCGATTTAACCGGCTCCAACAGGTGAAGATCACCGTTCTGCAACCCAGAACCTGTTCTTCGAAAACAGAGGAAAATAGAGAGATTCGGGGAGATTTGAGGCGAAACAAGTTCAGAAAATCAAAGTAGGACATCCCAAGGAGGTTCCTGGAAAGTTTCACGACCAAAGACGGCCTGAAGAACACACACGAGCTCGGACAAAAACGCACATCACTTGAATCCGAGGTGAGTGGTTCGGATTGAGTTTGAGAGATTCTATTTTCATGATTTATGGTGTAGACTAGTGATTCTGCAAGAGTTAAGCACCTAGGGATGTTAAGTATTGAATGGGTAACGATTAGATCTTAAATCGGATCAGAATTTGGGCAAAAGTGGTGAAAAATCGGACTGAACTCGTGAGGAAGACGAAGTTCTGAGTCCCAGAACGTCCGGTCTACAGACGTAGACCATCCGTTCTGGGACACGACAGAACGAACACGTATGAACAAATTGGAACGCCTGATCCGGCATGACCCGGAACGTCCGGTCTAGAACATAAGGGGGAACGGTGATACAGTGAAAAATGGTATTTAAACGAAATAGGATAAAATAAGGATGAACGAACGTGAAAAAGGTAAAAGTAAATAGAAGAAAGGAATTAAACCGAATGGATACGAAGGGAAAAATTAAGAGAAGTACTCGGAATTGCGATATAGAAATAACGGATAAATAATTATGATGATGCATGTGATTGGATGATTAAGGAACCCCGTACTTAGTACCGGTTGACGGCGTGAGTCAGTGCTAGTACGGGGATGTGCGGATTTGGAACCAGTGCCGGTTGACGAACTTGGAGTCAGCACTGGATGTTATGTGGTTTCGGTAATAGTACCGGTTGACGAACTTGGAGTCAGTACTATTACCGAAATGGAATACCAGTACCGGTTGACGATGTGGAGTCAGTACTGGTATAGTTGGGTGGACGTTTCTGGAGCCGTACCGGTTGACGAACTTGGAGTCAGTACCGTTAAGGAAATGTTTAGTGAAGCCAGTACCGGTTGACGGCGTGGAGTCAGTACTGGTGGATCTGAGTGGTCGTCTTTATGATAGTACCGGTTGACGAAGTGGAGTCAGTACTATTATAGGGAAGCAGGGTAAAGTCTAGTACCGGTAGACGAATTGAGTCAGTACTAGATGATACCGAAAGGAACGGTACCTGATAGTGCCGGTGGACGACTTGAGTCAGTACTATCAGGTATCGAAAAATGTGTGAAATAACGTTAAAGTGTTAAAAAGATAAATGAGAAAGGATTAAATGGATTAAAAGAATTCTTGTATTGAGAGATTAGTTGGCACCGTTCTCCATGAGAATGGGCTCTCCGGGCTCAACCCGAGCTACTCACTAAGCATTTCGCTTAGCCCTCCGTTGTTGAATTTTTCAGATCCCGAGGAGCACGAGTAGCGCACTGTGGACGACGACAACTTGTGAAGACATCATTTATGTACGGTTAATTAA